CGTGTGGCTCTAGAATCTGGGTTTAGTAATTTTGAACATTGTTTGTACACACTAGTTTACGGGAACCTAGCAGGTGCGTTCTTAGGAGTATCCACACCAAGGTGGTAACATTGTCCTCAACAGGTTGGATAAAAGATGGCAAAATTTTTGGAACGAATGGTGAAATAATCAGTGGATACCAGTCAATTTACTTGACATACATATTTTAGGGACATTTTTTCCAACAGTAATGTTACAAACATTTCCGTATAATTTCCACAACCTTGTTGATAAGTTACCATCACATGTTACCGACAATGTTGTGTTGGTGTGGATCCAACCTTACATCTCCAGTTTCGAGGAGATTTCGATCTTCTTTGATGCAACTGTCTCTTTTAGATACCGTAAATGCGTGTGTGCGCCTAAGAGGTGTCTTCGTTAATTGGGGTGGTGAATGGTGTGTGTGAGCGTGGCGAGTTAATTGCTGGTTGAGTTCCGTAATAAGTGTAGTGGTCACAACTTGGTCCCGTTAGCTCTCCTCTCGGTATTAAACTCCGTCAGTGTCGGTGTGTGCTCTTTTGACACACACACACACTGACTAACTGACTATGCAATAAACGTGAAGGCTACCTACAGGGCGTTGAGTTGAGTTACCTATACATTTTAAAATTACAAAAAGTCGCCAGGAACTGTCCAGACGGTGATGGAACGTTGGCTAGATATAGAATTAACAAGAGACGTATCGCCGGAAGATTAGCCTCCTCTCACCCCCCCCCCCTTATTTCACCTGATTAAACACCATAACGTTATACCTGGGTATTAAGTTAGGTTAATGTCAGGGTGGTTAATCTTAAGTGGAAATAAGCGGAGGGGCTAATCTTCAGGTGATCTTTTTTAGTAGAAAATCACAAATTGAATCCTGAAATAGTTTAATTATTAATATCTAGTAATATGTTGTTTGTATAAGGTATAGGCTCTTTTACCTGCCTGTGTGTATAGTAAGAAGAGTCCCTTGTGTGTGTGCTGAAGTATAGATGAGACGCTGGTCTTTTGTCCTCGAGGAAGCAAAGTCTGTACTACTGTAGTCTCTGTTACACCAATCTAAAATTTAGGTTACACTTAAAGATTAAAATTAAACTTGTGACTATAAACAAGGAGAGGTGACCTGGGGGATGACTTAACACCTGCAGTAGCCACAGTCGTTAATGAAACTCTACCTAATTACCTTTCATTGTAGGTAATTTATTTCATACCAACTTAATATTAGAGTAATTTTTGTTTCACAGTTGCGAGTTTTACCAGAACAAACCGGGTCAATGATTATTACTTCTTTCAGTGAAAATATCAAACACCCTAAAAGACTTGATTGACCCCCGTGAGTATAACTATGACTTAACCCCCAGCGGTGCAGTACTCGAGGGGATGGCTTATATTCACTAATGTTTAGACTTCGTTTAATATCGACGCATTTTAACGACTTTGGTGAAATTATCCCCAGACTTTCCCCAATTTTGAAAGAAAGAAAAAAAGAAACCTAGTGGGCTGAACGACTTTAAAAAAAATCATTTGTTTGTTTATATGGACAGACGAAGAAACGCTTTAGAAGGAACACTTGTGATAGTTGTAAAATGAGAAGAGGAGAAGGAGAGGACACACACACACACACACACACACACACTCACACACCCACGAGCTTGTGTGTGTGTGGAACATAGATCGAGATGGTGTGAGTCGTTTCCACCCCTTGGTCGTCGCCCTCGGCATTAGTGATGTTACAGTCTGGTCATATCCGCAATGCTGGAGGCGGCGGTGGGTGACTTGTCTTGACGTGTGTTGCTGGGATATACACACACTCTCTCTCTCTCTCTCTCTCTCTCTCTCTCTCTCTCTCTCTCTCTCATATTGGCCACACCCTTCACTGACTTACACCCATACCTCCTCTGCCCAGCCAACACCCACGACCACACCCTTTATGGCCTCGCCCTTCACACCCCCTCACACCCACCTCTCTTTCTCTCTTCGGGGGTTAATACTTTTGATAATTGATCCTTGTGGTAACTGATCCTGCTAACTTGTGGTGTGGGTTGGGGGGAGGCTGGGTACTAGTGGTGGGTGAGTCTGTCTGTCTCAGTTGATCTTTGTGGGTTCTCGACTCTGAACCGTGTCACCCACCGCTACCACCACCAGACAAGAACCGTTACCACTACTTAACCACCCTCTAGTGACAGCTGTTACGTTATCCACTAATACTATTGTTACAGTTAGTCAGTCACTAGTAAATGAAACTGCGTATTCGAGCTGTTTACCTGCAGGGTTCATATTAATAGTTATAAAGGTAATCTACACATAACATGCACGGTAAAATGGATCCCTAGGGTGTTTGGGGGCCGTCGCAAGCACAGCAAGAGAGTGGCATTGGGTTACTGACGGAGCAAGCAGCGTGCCGATCGATCTCCGCCGCCGCTGACTCGTGATGTCCATGTAGCCTTCACTCTCCCATTCCTGTCTCTGCTGCACCGTCTCGCTCGTACTGTACGGTGACTCTTGGGCCGTATAGGGTGGGTTAGGTACTGTAGTATATAAGGGATTCTTGTCTGTCCGTTGTACAGTCCCCTTCACTAGTGCGTGTACAGGGACTCGTCATATAAATATTACACAAATCATTATCTTAGAGATATTCGGTTTAATTTTGTTTTAATTTGATTCAATAGTGTGTTTTACTATTGCTAGTTTCCTTCTGTCGAGTGTAAACAAACACAGGGCTGCCACACTGCACGAAACCTGACGAGCCCCTATAAACGCACTGATGACGGGGACTGGACCTTGTTAAAAACATTTAAATTTATTTGAGGGGCTGATGTTTTAGCCCCTTAATGATAATGGTTTAACCCCTTGATAACGATGGTTTAACCCCTTGATGACCATGGTTTAATCCCTTGATGACCATGGTTTAATCCCTTGATGACCATGGTTTAATCCCTTGATGACCATGGTTTAATCCCATGATGACCATGGTTTAATCCCTTGATGACCATGGTTTAATCCCTTGATGACCATGGTTTAGTCCCTTGATGACCATGGTTTAGTCCCTTGATGACCATGGTTTAATCCCTTGATGACCATGGTTTAATCCCTTGATGACCATGGTTTAATCCCATGATGATCATGGTTTAGTCCCTTGATGACCATGGTTTAATCCCATGATGACCATGGTTTAATCCCATGATGATCATGGTTTAGTCCCTTGACCATGGTTTAATCCCATGATGACCATGGTTTAATCCCTTGATGACCATGGTTTAATCCCATGATGACCATGGTTTTTAATCCCTTGATGACCATGGTTTAATCCCATGATGACCATGGTTTAATCCCTTGATGACCATGGTTTAGTCCCTTGATGACCATGGTTTTTAGTCCCATGACCATGATCATGGTTTAATCTCTTGATGACCATGGTTTAGTCCCTGATGACCATGGTTTAATCCCATGATGACCATGGTTTAATCCCATGGATGACCATGGTTTAATCCCATGATGACCATGGTTTTAATGACCTCTTGATGACCATGGTTTAATCCCATGATGACCATGGTTTAATCCCTTGATGACCATGGTTTAATCCTTATGACCATGGTTTAATCCTTGATGACCATGGTTTAATAATGACCCCTTGATGACCATGGTTTAATCCCTTGATGACCATGGTTTTCCCCGATGGACCATGGTTTAATCCCTTGACCATGGTTTAATCCCATGGTTGATGACAATGGTTTAATCCCTTGATGACCATTGTTTAGTCCCTTGACCATGGTTTAATCCCATGATGACCATGGTTTAATCCCTTGATGATCATGGTTTAGTCCCTTAATGACCATGGTTTAATCCCTTGATGATCATGGTTTAATCCCTTGATGACCATGGTTTAATCCCATGATGACCATGGTTTAATCCCTTGATGACCATGGTTTAATCCCTTGATGATCATGGTTTAGTCCCTTGATGACCATGGTTTAATCCCATGATGACCATGATGACCATGGTTTAATCCCATGATGACCATGGTTTAGTCCCTTGATGACCATGGTTTAATCCCATGGTTTATGATGACCATGGTTTAATCCCATGATGACCATGGTTTAATCCCTTGATGACCATGGTTTAATCCCATGATGATCATGGTTTAGTCCCATGATGACCATGGTTTAATCCCATGATGACCATGGTTTAATCCCATGATGACCATGGTTTAGTCCCTTGATGACCATGGTTTAATCCCTTGATGACCATGGTTTAATCCCTTGATGACCATGGTTTAGTCCCTTAATGACCATGGTTTAAGTCCCATGATGATGACCATGGTTTAGTCCCTTGATGAATGGTTTAACTTGATGACCATGGTTTAATCCCATGATGACCATGGTTTAATCATGATGACCATGGTTTATGATGACCATGGTTTAATCCCTTGATGACCATGGTTTAATCCCTTGATGACCATGGTTTAATCCCCCTTGATGACCATGGTTTAACTACCTTGATGACCATGGTTTAACCCCTTGATGACGATTGATTGATCCTTTGGTGTCCTTGGTTTAATCCCCTGAGACTTTTCAACTGCTTAAACCATCGTCCCAATAGGTTATAGCTTAAACCACCGTCTCAGAGGATTATATATTGCCTTAGATTTGAAGGCTAAAATAACGTATTACGAAGAATAATATTATACCATCCAACAGGTTATGATATAATTAATCCCTTTTCTATGTTTTTAATTAATTTTGTCTATTTCACACGATTATACAGGTACATAGGTTTGGTGGATCACGTGAAGATGAGCCACCCCATCTAATTTCACCCGATGGTATAAACACCCTAACACTATACCTGGTGTAAGGTTAGGTTAGGGTGGTTTAAGCAAGAGGTTAAATGAGTTGGGGGTGCAGTAGTCTTGGCGTGATCCAGTTTGTTTTTGTTGTGTACTGTACTAACTCCGGCTGTCTCTCTCCCTCCTTCCACAGGCCACCATTGGTATCGACTTCCTGTCCAAAACGATGTACCTTGAGGATAGAACGGTGAGTACTGGTGTTCTTGGTGTATGTGTGTGTGTCTGTCCATCCATCTGCGTGTGGGTTGTTTTGTGTGGGTGTGGTGTGGGTGTATGTATGTATGTATGTATGTATGTATGTATGTATGTATTTGTAGTGGTATGTTTGTATGTGTAGTGTGTGTATTTATGTATGTAGTGAGTGTGTGTACACATGTGGTGTGTATTTATAGGAGTGGTGTGTGTGTGTATGTATGTATGTATGTATGTATGTATGTATGTATGTATGTATGTATAGGAGTTGTGTGTGTGTGTGGTTAGGAATGTGTATATATATATATATATATATATATATATATATATATATATATATATATGTGTAGTGTGTGTATAAGTATGTGTAGTGTATAGGTATGTGTAGTGTGTGTGTATATATAGGTATGTATAGTGTGTGTGTATAGGTGTGTAGTGTGTGTGTGTATGTGTGTGTGTGGTGTGTGTGTATAGGTGTGTAGTGTGTGTGTATAGTGTGTAGGTGTGTATGTGTAGTGTGTGTGTAGATGTTGTGTAGGTGCAATGTGTGTGTGTGTGTGTGTGTGTGTGTGTGTGTGTGTGTGTGTGTGTATAGGTATGTGTAGTGTGTGTGTATAGGTGTGTAGTGTGTGTGTATATAGGTGTGTAGTGTGTGTGTGTGTGTGTGTGTAGTGTGTGTGTAGTAGTGTGTGTGTAGGTGTGTAGTGTGTGTGTATAGGTGTGTAGTGTGTGTGTGTGTATAGGTGTGTGAGTGTGTGTGTGTATAGGTGTGTAGTGTGTGTGTGTATAGGTGTGTAGTGTGTGGGTGTATAGGTATGTGTAGTGTGTGTGTATAGGTGTGTAGATGTTGTGTAGGTGCAATGTGTGTCCGTGTCCCCCCCCCCCTCGGTCTAGGACCAAAGCTGATACCTTCCGCAAGAAGAAAGCGGCGGCCCAGCACGAACTTCGTAATCTAAAGAATGACTGGTTTAAAAATAAAGCATGTTAAACACAATAACTTGCAAATAAACACAAGGTGTGCAAATTTCTCAATTCCACTAAAACATTTTATGGGCCAATCACTCATGGCACAGCACCCCTCCACTCATCTGACAGTAACTCCCTAATTAAAGATGAAGAAGGCATCCTTCAGCACTAGAAAGAGCACTACCATGTGCTGCTCAACTGCAACACCGATGTAGATGTCCTGACTACCCAACAGGTCCCTCAGCATCCAGAACTGACCCATCTCAGCTATCCTCCATCCCAAGATGAGGTAGCTACTGCCATCAAACGGATGAAAAATAACAAAGCCTCGGAACTTGATGGAATCCCAGCCGTAGTGCATAAAGCAGGAGGACTTCTGCTTACCAGTCATCTCCACTCTCTCCTGGAGAATATATGGGAAAAGGAGGAACTCCCCCAAGCTCTTAGAGGCGCCTCCATAGTCAATATTTAAAAGAACAAGGGAGACCGGTCAGACTGTGGCAACTACCGTGGAATCTAGCTGCTGTCCATAGCTGGCAAGATTATCGCCTGAGCCATAAACAGACTTCTTCCTGAGACAGAAAACATCCTCCCAGAAACTCAATGTGGCTTTAGACCATCACGTGGCACCACTGACATGCGTGATCTTTGCTGCACGCCAGATACAGGAAAAGTGCAGAGAACAGCGACGTGACCTGTACATGGCCTTCATTGACTTAACCAATGCCTTCAACTTGGTCAACAGCGAAGCCCTCTGGCGGACCCTCAGCCATTTTGGCTGCCAACCAAAATTCATCGCCTTTGTAAGGCAACTCCACGATGGCATGAACGGCAGCGTCCTGCACAATGGCACCCAGTAGTTCTTCCCCATCCAAACGGGGGTAAAACAAGGACGTATACTGGGCGGGCCCCAGTTGTTAGGAATCTGGCAATGGCTTTGTCCCGATTGAAGTTGCCAACACACTCTGTTTGCAACTGAACCACCATGAGATCCGTCAGGTGGTCATCAGTGAGACGACTGTGCCAGTCTGTCTTAATGAGTTTGACCTGGCTATAACCACGTTCAGCATCAGCCGACCTAGCTGGAATGGAAAGCAGTAGGTCAACCAGATGGAGAAATGAGGCACACCTTTCTCCGTATGATTGGTTGATTTGTTGACCAAGACAGTCTTGAAACAAGTGGTCTTACTCTTGTAAATGTAACATTTGAGCACAGTCCATTCATTCTCTACCAAAGTAGGATTCAACTCTGCCTCCATCAGTGTTTTCTCAAGAGCCTGGGCCAACACTTGCACAGCACTATCCCCGAAATCTCCATTCCCACTGTACTCTGCAGGCCACAATTTGAAATTCAGAATCCGTGTTCTGGAGAATCGTACTGGCCATGTCAATAAATCTTTTGTTTAGACTTGAAATCAGTGATGTCAGCATATCACGCCTTGCAGTCTTGAAAGTGTTGCTTTTACCACTCAGCTTCTCTCCTTGGAACATGGTCGTGTCACCTTCCATAATCTTTCTCAGGCTGGGTCCTGGCCAAGTCAAATATTTGTTAAGTACATCAACTGCAGTCTGAATTTCATTCACGATAGCATAAATATTGGTTTGACCATGCTGGAACAGCTGAGAGGCCCCCAAGGCACTGCACCACATCCAGTAGGAGGTGAAGGTACTGGACTATGTCAGCACTGGTTAGAAGGAGCAGGTAGTTCTTAGCTTTTCTGGATGAATCCTTGTGGTACGCGGGATCATCAGGGTTCTGTATCTGCTGCATGTGGAGTACAATAGCCTTGTAACTCTTCAGTAGATGCTCCAATGCCTGCAGCATATATCTAGAAATGAATTCCTCAATAATAATTGTATACTGTATCTACATAGTTAGACTGCGTTTATTCATTACAATGCACGGTTTCCATACACCGTCACGAGTAGCGGTGGTATCTGTGTGTGACGTCATACAATCCCTGAACCGGCCTGGTGCACTAGGTGGCATTGCACCAACTCATTTGTCCAGTATTATCACACTACGTTATATCATTGAGTGTATATTTATTTTCATTTTCATATAAAGTGTTATATACAGTAAATGGGAATCCCTTCCGCTTGCAATACCGGTGATACAATTAAGATAACTAGCCCTTAAATTTTGGCCGGTCTCATGTGAATTTCTACCCCTGAAAGTGTGTATGTATGTGTGTAATGCGTGTGTGTATATTGTTTGTGTGAGATGTGTGGGCATATTGGGATTGGTAATACTGTAATAACATCTCTTGCTATTCTGATATTTTCACTCGGGAAATATTGTCATGACCATTTACTTTTTCCATTATACTTGGGTTCATTGTGGCCTTAACTGCAACTGGACTCAGATCTCTTCCCTCCCATAACTCTGCATTCTTTTTTCCTCTGATTTAAACTGTCATAAGGATAAATGGGGTGTACTCGCACAGTTCAAACATGTCCTTGAAATAAGATGGTTTTACTACAGGTTCGACTTCAGCTCTGGGACACAGCTGGACAAGAGAGGTTCCGAAGTCTTATTCCCTCATACATCCGAGACTCTACGGTTGCCGTTGTTGTTTATGATATAACCAGTAAGTTGACCCCTTTTTGCTTTTTATCAAATACAGTTCATGTGATATTGGTAGACCTAGAATGTACCATTAGCTTCACCCATTAGTATCTAGTATGAATGATTTATTGTACATTACTTCAAAACACTCGATACCGTACAGTAACTCGGCACATATTTGCCAAATATATACATATACCCGGTACTCCAGTCATCTTCACTTCCTCCTCTCTGTCTAGTGCAGGGTGGCCAAATTATAGAGTAACACAGGCTCCTTTATTCACCATCCTTCATTCCTTTTGCATGCTGTACCAATCTCATACACATCACGACTTTAAGATATAGATTAACTTTGCTATGGAACTTAAAGTATTCTTTTCTTTTTTCCAGATGCCAATTCCTTCCACCAGACATCAAAATGGATAGATGATGTTCGAACGGAGCGGGGGAGTGATGTGATCATTATGCTTGTAGGAAATAAGACTGATCTGTCAGACAAAAGACAGGTAAGTGATGTTTAGAAAGGCTTTTAGGAGGTTGTACAGTATTGTATGCACTTCCTCCCGTGGTAGACTGTCAATAGACTACTTCTCCATTATCAAAATTGCACACATTCAGGATGTAGGATTTAGTTCATTTTCACCCATTTACTATTTGGACTATTTACATATTTGTGTGCCCTCTATGGTATAGTATTTATTGTACAGTACATAAATTAGTAAACCCTATGTAGATGTGCTACATACACTACAGCACCTTTGAGTCTCCCTCCAGGCTAGTCACATCCTGTAATGACTCTAAAGTCGATCATAATTTTGCACTGTCTGTGGTACACTTCCACACGAGTTGATAGCTTGTTTGTTTTTTATTTCTCTGTTCCTTGTATACCTGTACTGTACTGATAATAAAATCTTAGCCATTTGCTAATAGAACTGTACCTGAAATAGATTAAGAATTGTAATTATTTATTTGATGTGTAAGGAGTCACTGACAAGGCTTTTAAGTAATGCAATCCTTATATCTGTATTAATATCTACTGTACTCACATTAAAGAATGAAGCTCCTATCAGTGGTATGTGTTGTTGTGAATCATTGATTCGTACTGTGTATATTCTTTAGAGAATTTGTTAACAGTGATAATATTTTTTCCAGGTATCTACAGAGGAAGGTGAACGCAAGGCCAAGGAACTTAATGTGATGTTCATTGAGACTAGTGCAAAAGCAGGATACAATGTGAAACAGGTACGATATCTTGCATTATAGAAGTAGTTTTGGGAATGACGATGTTTAGAAATAATGTGAAGCACAGGTGTAGATTTAGGTGCAGCTACAGTATATGGACCTCCTCTTCACTTTCACATAATAGGTAGGTGCATTAATGACAGTATTTGTAGAGTGTAGGCATCTTAACATAGGTATGAACAGATGTGTCTAATACAGTACAGTACCTAGTACAGTACAATTAGAATACAGTATTACAGCTGTAGGCTGTATCAATTAATCTTCATAATCCTTTTGTTTTGTCTCAAATTTTGCATCATCTTTTACCAGGAGATACAGTACAGTACAAGTATTTCTATTTACTTGTAATACACCTGTGGCTGCATAAAATCAGTTGACCGAGTTTTCAACGCGCAAACAAATGGCCATGGGTTTCATTCTCAACCAGAGTAGTGGATCGAGTTCCCTCCATTTACACTATCCCTTGTGCACTCAGGAATACTGTTATGTACAGTAATAGTAAATTGAGTGCTTTTTCCAAATAGTGGGCTAACATCCTGGCAAGGGAAGGAAGGTAATCCACCGGCTGCTAAATGCAAAGAATTACAAGGTGTGAATAAAAAAGAAAAATAGGCTTTCAACCAAGAATATTTAATTTTTTCCAAAGCCTCGTCTTTTTCTGCGGTTGGGTAGGTGGTAATAGGCTTATGGAAAGAGACAACAGTTAAAGCAGAAGAGGTGCTTTGTACTGTGGCTTTTTAAAGGGCGTTCATAACTGGTCTGAGGTTAGTGACATCTATGACCACTGTGGTTGTCATTTGCTTTGATATGAGAGTTGTTGAGCCACTTAACAACACCAAGGACCCACATCTGAAAGTCTTTTTATCTTGGACAGTAAGAATTAGCTTATAAGTACAAAAAAGTACCTGTACAGTATGTTGACTTTACTTGACACATTTTTGAGTCTTGGTAGTCCTAAGTGAGTGTTGTAGGATCTAGAAGAAAGGTAATGGAATCAGAGATGTGGTCTTGATAATGTGTTCAAATCAGATGGGTTACTTTCCTTTTTTTTTTTCCCTCACTTTATTACTTTCACTCACCTTCATATCACCATAATATCATATTTTTTTAACCATATGTGTTTGTATAATTGTGTTGTTGTGTTGCTTTGTTTTGTGCAAGTACAGTACAGTGCGTATATGAATATGTTTGTAAATATGCATGTTTTCTCAGTGTGTAAACGTCTCTTTTGTGAGCAATTTCATTCTTGAATATGTACTTGAATAACATATTAACCTACATAAAAGAAAAATATTTTTAATGCACACACACACTCACTTGGCCCCACACTCTTATAGTCACACTCACACAAGTATGAATACCCACATAGATATACAGAAAAAACCTACATTGGTGCAAGGGAAGCCATTTTTCATCAGCCCAATCATCCTCCTTTTCTTGTTTCATGGTGGACATGTTACAGTACGGTTACATATTAAATAGCAGTCAGCAGGTGGTGGTGATGTGTGTTGGGGAAGGAGTAACTGTTTTTCAGGCTTTTTAATTGGTGTACTATAGCAGTAATCACGAATACCAAAGGTACGGTGGTGTACATTAAAATTTTTGCGCTATGGTAAAACTCCTGACACTAAATTTTTCATATCCATTTCCATTGCACCCATTGTCAAATAATTACAGTAAGTCCTTATTGAACGAAAGGGTTAAATTCCACTAAAACGCTTTCTTTAGGTGTTCCTGTACTAAGCTCTGTGATAGATTAATATACTGTACTAAGCTCTGTGACAAAATAATTACAACACATCAAAATACTGAAGATAAAAACAATACCTGTAACATGTAAAATATAAAGGTACATAAACAGGGTTGTTGATTGTTGTTTTTGGGAATATTATTTCATTCACCCGAGTAATGATACAATGTTTCTTATTGTGTTATCATAGGAAAATGCATGGTTTATATAATTTATCACTGAGCCCGTTACCATATTCAAATTAGACTACATACAAGATATGTATTTCTCCCATACGTTCGCCTGGCAATGGAAGCGGGGTAAGGGGAGTGAATGACCCCTAGTTGAGTGTCTTCTGCAGTGTTAACGCTCCACTCCCTGCCATATTTCAGTGGATTTACTGTTATTATTAGTGTTTACTGATGGAGTAGTGCTTAATTGTGGTTAATCATGGCATTGTAGCTAATGAGCCAAGCTGTGAGGTGTTAGCTGGCTCAATTAGGGAGGGTAGTAGAGTTCAGAGTAAGGGGGGGGGGTGCCATATTGCTAGGGAGACGGATGTACCTCCCAGTTGGTCTCTGTTTCTATGGGGAAGCAGGGAGTGTTTGCAAATGGCAACTGTGTCAAACTTTCATTTGGCTTTTATTTACTGGGTTGGCAATACAGTATATTGTATGTTGTACAATATTGTATCATGAATGACAGTCATAGTGGAATGAGAGAGGCAGAATGTTGGTGAGATGCAGGGGGTGGGTGGGAGGAGGTGCTGGTGGTGAGATGATGAGTCAGTCGGATTGTTTGGTAACACTGGCTGCAGCACTGCCAAACACAATTGAACAGCTAATGTCTACCCTCAAAATTGAGTGTAAGTATAAATGAACGTCACATTCCTTCTACATTACGTTACATAAATTTTAAATTATGGAGTGAGAATAACAAATAAACAATATACAGTACTGTATAATATTATACTATCATGAATGACAGTTATAGAATGAGTGAGAGAGGCAGTGTTGGTGAGAGCAGTGAGTGGGAGGGACGAAGGTGAAATTATGATTTAGGTGGTGATAATAGAGGTGGTGGAGGTGATCATGGAGCTGGTGATGAGAAATTGTAGAACATTCTTTCGTTAATCGGCAAATGGGTAGTAAAAACTTGCTTTTGCTAGTGTGGATTCGTTTAGAGGATTAATGTTCAATGGGGACTTACTGTATGTGTAATTACTTAGCGCAATGTATGTGTGTGCACAGTTATCACTTGAATTAAACTGCAAGGAGTATTAAACATGGACTAGAATCGATTTAACCAGCACCAAATAGGGGTGTCAAAAGCTTACCTCAACCTGTTCCTCCTCAGAAAAAATTTAGAATTGTGGTGATCACTGCTATAGCAATGGTTTGATTTTGGTTTTAAAATACTGTGGTGGTGGACCTCAGACGATCTTCCTTGTATCTGTCCCATGAAAAGAGAGAGAAAATAGCTGCTTTAAAGCCGGATAATTATTTTTTTATTTTTCCCCCCATTTCATTTAATTCCCATACATTGATGTTTATAGATATATGTTTTTTAAGGATACCCCATGGTGTAATGATAGAACGCAGACAACTCACCTCGAGGAGGCCGACTCTGTGGTGGAGGTCGGCCAAGTTAATCTTATGGTGATAGATATGGTATGCTAACAGTCCCTTACTGTCCTGCTGAGGCCCCAGATTAGCTAGTGCCTTGCATGGGTGGTTGGCACATTCATTCAATGGGAAACAGCACATCAGATAGTGTTCACATATGTCGTTTGCTCGTATACAGTACTGTATGTTAATTTTTCCTTCTGTTATTGTCTTTTATTTACATATTTTGTTATAATTTTTTGCTACCTTTTTCTTTATCGTCATTTAATATCTTTTTATCTCTATTTATTAATACTAACCATATCCTATTTCCTCCAGCTGTTCCGACGAGTTGCTGCAGCACTGCCCGGTATGGAGTCTACTGAAAACAAGAAGGTTGATAGTATCCTTTTCTTGTACATTATTAGTTCTTAACAGATATTTATCTTTCAGCAAATATTTCATTTTTGGGGGGAGGGGAGGAAATGTCCTGAAGGTCTTGGGGAGGGGGGGGGTGGGGGAAGGGTTTAGAGATGAAGAACAAGGTTGGGTCTTTAATTATTGTTTCTTTCAGGAAGTTAAGTACAGGAAGTCTAGTTCAAGCATTTTAATGGAGTATAACGCATTAAACATTCCACGATAAGTTCTCAGTTTGAGAACTGTAAAGAAGGTTTATGGTATTATTTATTTGCTCATGTTTTGGAAAAGAAGGTATATAAAATTTTTTGTAAAAGATAGAGTACTGTTGATGTTACAGGGTCCATCTGACGAAGGTATTTTACACTTGTCTCTTCTGCTCACTAAAATTACCTACACCTTGGTTTCCCATTATTAGATGCCTGTAATCTTTTCATTAGGCAGGGGAAGAGAGTACAATACTAATGTAGAACATGGAAAATTTTCTAATACAGTACTGTATCTCCTTCAGGCCATTAACCCCCTTTTTGCTTACATAACTGGCTGTACTTGAAGGAAGGCCTTTGTATGTGATTATTATCTAACCACTTGATTTTGTAACAATACAGTCTTGTTTTTATTAATGGGTAATTGCAGAAAATGGCAGCCTGTAAAATGAACATTTAAGATTTAACACTATCAAAGTTGTCTGTGTGGATATTTTTGAGACAAAAATAAAATGGGAGTGACCATAAGCTGCTTCAGTTTGGGTTGGCCACATAATTTTTCAAGTGAGTGAGTGAGTCAGGATTGGTAGGAGTTAGTCAGCCAGTCAGTTAGGATCGGTATTTGTTGAGCTGACAGTATAGCTAACTGGTTTTTGGCTGGTCATCCCACAGGAAACCAGTTAATTAGAACCTACATTGTTCTCAGTTACATTTTCACTCTGAAATGATACGTACATTGACTTGAAGAATTACGAGAGTGGTGATGTCCATGGGATATACTCCTTGTTGAGAAAGAAGCAGAACTGAAAGAAAGGACTTCAGTCATTGATCAAATTCCCTATATATTGGAATTAGTCCCCACTTTAGACCATCATCCCTCAACTGTAAAACTCTAAAAGCAGTTTGGGTTGATCTGAAGTGTATGCTTTACATGACCATAAATGACTCCTAATTTGAGTATTTTTCAGTGTAGTGTTTTATGATATACAGATTATAATTTGTAAATCTAAGTAACCCTATTTTATCTGTATGCTTTCACTGCATACTGTACTGGGGGTGGGTTGCACCTGTCTATATACAAAGTAGTACATCACTTTGTTGAATTGAACACACAATACTCTGCAATGGCCAAGTAAATTTAAGAACATTGGCATCATAAGTATTATGAGAAGTGAACCACCTACCTCTTCAACTATCTGACAAGTCAGGCTGCCTCATTTGACAAGGCAGAACACTGTTGATATGTTACAACCAGTCAGTGCATTGTGTTTTGAATATTTAAGTGTTGATTCGGGTAATAATCTTATTGGAAAATAAATATCGCAGAATCCACACTTAAGACATTTCAGACAAGACGTGCAGTTGTACAGTTGTTATCATAAGTCCTGTCGTCTCTTCTGCTGCTCGACAAACCACGAGATTCAAACTAATGAACCTGAAGCAGTAGACACTGATGATGCATTATTCTTTCTATAAATGCTTCAAATTCACGAGTCTGAATCTTGGGGGTCATAAAGCAGCACAAAAGGCGAGAGGACTTTTTTGGGCAATTGTACTAATGTACTTTGTCCTATAAAGTTCATTTTTATACTTCCTTAGTTTACACTACAGTACAGTATTAGATTTCATAGTATTATGATACATATACTATTTCACAAACAAAACTTAATTTTGACACCATATATAAGGGATATTTTCTTCCTCCACATTTTTTTTCTTGGTCTATAATTTAATTTTAGTATCAACAGGTTTGCAAAATTGAATTATTTTTGTATGACAATGTCTGATGATACAATATCAGATTTAATTGCAACTTAGGACTGTGCTCCTTAGTGACTCAAGACAGTGATTGGTCAAATGAGTCGGCAAAGAATGGGTTAATGGCTATATACAGGGCTTGGTGACAGTCAAGTTTGCATGCATTATTCTTTGATTTGACGAATGAAATTCCCCCCTACCTTTGCTGTAGAGTTAATACTGTACTTGGTTTGCAAAAAGGTGTTGTTTTGATGTCTTCTTAACATGGCTTGAAAGTAGCTGAAAATACTGAGCTTAGTTTTATCTCGTTGCAACATAGATCTTTATTTGGCTGTAATGCAGGATAAGCATCATTTTTTTAATATATGAAAGTTACATATTTACTTATCAGTCATTTATTAAATTTGTTTTTGCCTACCAAAACATAGCAATATCCACAAAGGTCCATCTCAGAAGCCATGGTATTAACACATGAGATTCTGGATGTCAAGAAAAGTAAAGGATGAAATGAATTGTCCATAAAAGATGTATTCTGGTGTGTGGTCTTCACTAACATAATCTCTAGCTACAGACTGAGAGGTATATTTAAAGGTAAGAAATTCAGTACATACGTAATGCTAGATCCCAGGTTAGTGTGAACCTCCATCCAGTGTACTACGGTAAGTTTTTAACGCAAGCTGAGCACGTGTTCTTACCACAGCAAATTTAGTCCGAATTGATGTTTATGCACAGCTGAAACATTATCTCATGTTTGTATCTTTTGTAGTGCATGCTTTATTTCTGTTAATGATATTGATCACCTTATTTTTTTGTGGAGAAATAGTGTGTTTGGGAGTCTATGTTGTTTACAAATGTAAGTTTAATAGCAACATGCTTCAATATTTCTGTTCAGTTTTACTTGTATCAGGGTTGTCAAATAAGTATTGGTTTGTTCATACTGGTAAACTGCAGTAAATTTGACTACTACTTATTGACTCGTCACTCAGCTTGGGTTCAGTGTGGTTTGGTTGTTGATGTGACTCGGTGTTGGGCATGATGCACATGTAGCACGTTGTTTGACAGTATATATTTTAAGTTTGCTAATTGTGTATTGTTGTGATTAGTATTGCAAGTGGAGTTGAAGATGGCATTTTAAGCTTTATTTTACACTTCAACTTATAAATGGCTGATCGCTCTGATGCTTGACCGTTAAAAGTTTAATTAAAACTGCCATATTAAGAGCAGCATTGCTCAGAACTATACTTTATTGTAATCTTCCTTCTTTTCCTTAACATGTGGAACTTCATTTTTTATGAAAGAAAAAATACTAATAAATTCGTAATACTGAAATAACGAGTCAGTTTCCATGCTACTAAAACTCCACTTGTCTCTTTTTTGTTCTGTTTTGCCTGTGCCTATTTTTCCTTAATGATGTGTCTTAGTGACCGAGGTTGTACTGCGAGACTCCGACAATACCACAGAAATCGGGCGGACATCAGATGGTGGGTGTGCTTGCTAGGAGCTACTCACCCACCCATTCACCCAATGGTTACCGTACTACCAAACCATCGTCCACCTCTTCCGCCCATTCTTCCTGCCTGCCACGCCTGGCAACTTTCTACAAGGGGGGTTGCAAAAGTGATAAGCCATCATTAGGTTGTAATGCCATGTTCCGCCCTGCACCAGAGATAGTCTACATTGTAGCTTCATCAATTTGAAATAGTGTTGCAGTAATTTTCTCTTGTAATATTTTGAATCTTATGGCAATAGTTTTAGGATTAATCTGTATATCTGAAATTCAAAGCTTAACCATTAAATTTGGATGCTGTATTTTGCCCACATAATGAAATAGTCTTTAACTGCCACTGTTACCCTCTACTTAACCATTTACATAAACCTGGTGTTTCTAAGGTGGTATATGCTTCTGCATCACTTAGAATGCTTACTGTACAGTATGTTTATTAATGCTGGGGTTCAGCACCTTCACCACAAAAAGAAAAAAAAAAGGTTGTCTGTATAATTACAGCTGTTAATACACTAAAAGTAACGCATAGATATCCATACTAGTACGGTCATATGTCACAATGTCCTTATGTTGATGAGTTTGTGATGTATGGATGTGTGTGTTTATATAAATTTATGTATGTATGTATATATTGATATACAGTAGAACATTGGTTATTTGCAGATTATAAGCATAGGCAGCTAAGTTGCATAAAATTATATTATCATTGTGATGACCACTTGATGAAGCCAAGTTATCCCGTTAAGTAAAAAAGAAAAAGAAAAATCAGGTGGTGGTAATACATAGTGTACAGTACTGTTTACCAATAGGAGTGTGTGTGTTGTCCTGATTCTGGCCTTTGTAAGTCACAATATATCTCAATGGAGATCCATGAAAGGCTTCCAATACCCACCCAGAAATGAGTATTACTTGTTTTGATAGAACCTTCTCATGACATTGCTGATCAACCAAGGAATATATTCCCATGACAGTAATGTCTCTGTATGAAAATGACCCCATGCACAGAAAATTTATCAATGGCAGTGCTTGGCTCCTTGAGCAACCAAGACCAATAAAATTAAGGGAAAATACTCCTGCTTGTTTGTTAGTCTCTTTGTACAGTTTTAGTTACTCTTGTACAGTTACACTTATCACTGGTCAAAAATGGCTTAATAGCAGCCTGAACCCCTTCTTATTGTATGGATGGAATCATGAGTTTGACAGACTCTTACATACAGTTTTGCTCATCTAGTACTTGTATCTTTTAGGTAATTGGCTGAATTTGCTAGATTGTTATGAAAATAAGGAGTTCATGCAATTTGTTTTCACAGAAATAATAATTATTGATGTTCTACTGTATACTATTTGGTTCATATGTGTGCATATAAGTATGTTTGTGCATGTATGCATGCATGCATATTAATATAACTGAATGCATGCATATGTAAAAATGAATATGTGTGTGTGTGTGTGTGATATACGGTGCAGTATATACATACATATCCAAGTATATAAGAATTAGTAGTGCCTATTTATGGG